CAGCAGAAATGGCAGCAAATATTACAATAGTTCTGTAAAAATATTTTAAGTGGGGATAAAGGACCGGATTGGTTATAATGTAAGTACAATAACACAGAGTTGTAAAGATACTTGAAAAAACAGATAATTTTTAAATTCTATATATAACCCCTTTGTAAACGCTGTTCACCGAAGTCTATTTACCAACATACATAAAGATATTACACATAAAAAATACACGGAAACATTGGAAATCAGTTTTTAGCAGGCAATCACTTTTTGGCACAACACCAGAAAGTAAATAAACGGCAGACAGTCAAAGGAGCTTGCAAAGAAAAGCGTCTGGACTTCTTTAAGTTGCTTGAAGACGTTTCACCTCTCATCCGAGAAGCTTCTCAAACAGCCACTTCACAAGCGCATGGCACAACACAGAAGAGCCACCTCCACAGGACAAGACTCAGCAGTCCATCTGCATCTAAAGGATAAAGGTCACTCTTTCGAGGATGCCAATGTTCACATTTTGGACAGAGAGGACAGATGGTTTGAAAGAGGAGTGAAAGAAGCCATCTATGTCCACTGTGAGCGACCATCTTTGAACAGAGGCGGTGGTTTACGACACCAACTCTCTGCCATCTATAATCCAGTTTTGAGATCCCTTCCCAGACGCCTTAACGCCCACTCACATCCTGGGCCATCTGACCTCAGGAATTCGCATGATAAGGTGGGGCCAGGTTTCACAATGAACACACCCGAAACTCTGGCTGATTGGGACCCACGCCCAGTTTCCCACCTTGGCTCAGGCGATTAGAGGATCATCAGGGGGTCCTTTTGTCCCTCTGTGGGGGGAAACTCCCACTAGGTTTATATCTGGGACTCTCCACCATTTGACCTTAGAACTGAAGAAGCTTCTCGGATGAGAGGTGAAACGTCTTCAAGCAACTTAAAGAAGTCCAGACGCTTTTCTTTGCAAGCTCCTTTGACTACGATGACCTGGATGACTGAGAACCTTCACAGACATAAACGGCAGACAGAAATGAGGCAGGCTGAATCTTCTTGCGTTTCACGGATGAGCAGTACTGGACCGTAAGCGTTTTCGGCCGTTTCAATGTGGACGCACAACTCTGTGAAAATGACTGAAAATGATATTGTGGAGCGGAGCGTTTTTAGACAAAAATGCCGTTTTCAAATTTATCCGGATGAGTGTAGACGTAGCCTGCGACTATTGTGATCGGCCAGTTCAACAATCATCGCCTCCACATCAGGACTCACACGTGTCAGTAAATTCATGGAGGGAGATTACCAAAATAGATATAAGGAAAAGTACAAAGAAGTGAAAAAACTTGACGGACATTTTTGCCAAAAAAACAAAAAGTGAAACTGACCACAAACTGACCCATGAGGGAAAAAACTCACAAGATACTTAACACACAATGCATCAGCCCAAACGTGAATGCTGGCAACGGCCACGTGCATGGATTCACTGCAGAGGTCAAAATATGAGCATAAACCACCACCCTGCCCACCTCCTAATAAACATGCAGCATGCGACAGTCCAGCTCTAGCTGATGTTTTGGGAGAGCAAGTTGCTCAGTTGTGACCTATTACTGATTTTAATACAAAGAACGAGTTAAAAAAAAAAAAATTCATTTTGGAAAAAACAAAAAAAGAAAAGTCATTTCTCCCTTCAGATGTGACACATTTCAGCTTGATATAAATAATTTACTTCGCTTTGGTTAAAGTGTAAAACTCAAACTCCTCATGTTTTCCCGCAAAAAGCCTCACACAGCTGCCCAGAGCTGTGGAGTTTTTAGGTCATGACAAAAGCTGACAAAGCATTCAAAGGCAGAAACAGACAGGTGTCGACGTGCCTGAAAAAACAGCAGGAGGACGGGGATTACAGATTCAAGCTTTAGAGGCCCGGCGTGAAGAACTCTCGCACTCATTTAACAAAGGACACTGTGAATCCTCTCACACTTTGAGAGGAAAAGAAATCAGCTGTTTCCCAGCATCCTAGTCTATAGAAAGTGCAAGAAGGCGTTATCCAGAGGTCATCCAGCCTGGGAGCACAGATGTTGGATAGCTTTTTTCCTCAAGAGATCATTATCAGGAGCAATAACTCATCTGTGCCACTCTTGATAGACTTACACAATCCTACACTGACTTTTATACGTTAATTATTATTGACTGACCTTTTCATACACAGAAATGAGCCTCCAACTAACCATTACATTTCATTAAAAGGTTACACCAAGAATCCAGTATTAGAAAAGTATTCTGGTCTCTTCAGGAACTCGTGTGTGGTGATCAAAGGAAACAGTTCCTTTTTTTATGCTTTTATTTGCTTTTTTGCTGGGAGCTCTGTTACTTGATGAGGTTTTATCAGTTTTATCCTGGTTTAAGTATCAAAACAGGACATTGCAAATCAAAATCCTGACTTTAAGTAATTTGATTACATGTACATTTTCCCTAAACAATTCTCCATAAAGTACAGTGAAAAAATGTTAAATTCAATGGACTCTGGTCAGTGATGATTTAAGATAAATGCAAAATTGTGAGATTTGTTTTTAGTGGGGGACTTTTCGCAGTTCTGTTTAAAGAGAAATGAAATATTAGATTTTATTTTTTTAAAAACGATTGACTTTCATCACCTTCGAGAAAGTTAAAATGTATATTTAGTAGGGCTGAACGATTATGGAAAATAATCTAATTGCGATTTTTTGCCCCAATATTGCGATTGCGATGCGATATGCGATTATTTTTTAAGGTCTTTGTCTTCTGTATTATTAAACAAAGACAAGCAATACATCATATAGTATGGCCAATACTATATTACATTAATTTTAAACTGTTCTTTCCTGGAAGACAGACCTCTGTTATGATGACATGAGGTGATGCATGAATTGATGACTGACATTTTTATTTAACTTCTTCAATCACAACAGTATATTTGAACATACACAATAGTTTATTTTTAGCTTACAAACATCTGAGCATAAAGTGCTGACAAGGAACCCTGGTGTAAACATTAAAATGAAAGTCAGTACAATGTGCCGATTGCAGAAATATACATTAAAAAAATCAGTGGCTTTACCACACTCAGTTTTTCGACATCTGTGAACTACTAGACAGTCATTCAATTAAAAAATAATATTAAATAAATAAAACTAATAAATAAAAAATACACACATCTTACTGATCTCTGCAGTCAGTAACATTACACATAAAGTGCAAACATAATAGCAATTGTATAAACACACACACAAACACGCCTTTAAAATTTAAAGGCGTGAAATTGGACGGTCTAGTTCTGATTAGCGTCACCGCTGTCTCGGTGGAGTTTAATAAACTCGGCCGTCTGCTTCTTGCTATCTAAAATATAACCAGACACTGGTGTAAATTCTCGACTGTCTCATACTTCTGTTTAATCAGTTTTCTGTTTGACGTTTAGTCAGCTGTGTGAAAACCAAGGAGGAACCCACCCGGGGGATTAATAAAGTTTTATTTTATCTAATCTAATAACTTTAATCTCAGCCAAACCGATTTACTCACGAACAAACAAAACACTGAAAAAAGCCCAACAATAACATTTTTAGGTTGTCTAAGTGACTTATATATTACGTTTAACCCGAGCAGCGAAACTCCGCGGTGATCTGAAAATGATGTGCCGGGAGTTGTGCCGTTCTCGGCCGCATCAGTAACCCTCGAGCTTCCGGCTAGCTGTCGAGCTGGTGGGTAGCAGACGCCTCTGAAAACGTCGAAGCACTTTTGCAAATATGGGATATCTTGATAAACCGAGCAGATATTTGATGTTTACACAACTACTTTCTCGCCTGAAAATATGTTAAAAGTTTATTTTGTGACCCAGAAAGATTAGTATGAGTAATTTTAAAACTTAGTAGCGGCCGCCATCGCTGGAAACTGGAGTTTGGCTGGGCCGCGCTATGAATTCTGGGATATGGTAGTAATTTGGACAGCCTTCGGCGCGTCGCTGTGACGTAATCGGTCTACAAATGCGGCCTCAGGAGGATGCAGCCCATGAATTTGGACATGTCCAGAGTATAATCGCAGCCTTTGCGGTTAGAAAATTGCACTTGATCATGTCGCGATATTATCGCAAATGCGATATATCGTTCAGCCCTAATATTTAGTGCTAAAAATATGGATAAAATTCTAGAGTCTGACTCACACAACTGAAGCACAGACGTATTGGATGGTTTGTGACAATTAACCGCACAAAAAACACAAAATTTAGTGGCTGCATGTCGACATCCACCTATCGCCCAGCAGCCGTACCCTTAACAATGTCAAACTTTAAGCCTTAAAGCATTTAAATGGGTGAGCTATGAAGAAATATCCAAGCGTGTTACAAGTGTCATTAGCAGGACAGAACAAACAGTTTTTCAGAGCAGGCTGCAAACATGCTGGTCATTTTAACATGAGAGCCTATTGGGATAGGCTCATCTTTGATGGCTGCCTCTAGTGGCTATCAGAGGAACTGCAGTTAACCACAAACAGAGATTCTTGGGTCTCTTCTCAGGAGTTCTTACATGCCTGCAGGAACAAGCATTAACTCCAGCCGGGGAGGATTTTTAAAACAACTCTTTGCCTGCAAAGTCCTGAAATGAAGACTAAGCGTTTTTTCTGGCTTCCAAAAAAGGAAAACATTTCACATGCATGAACTTTGCACCGTCAGTCGACATCATGGTGACCGCAGCAGGGATAACAGATAACATGTGTGACCACACTCGTGTGCAGACAGCTTGACTCGTGAGTTGTCTTTTAGAGGAAGAAAGATCACCTTCATCACTACACACTTATTGATTCCAAGGCTCGTATTTAAAGAGGAAGCAGCTGAATGTATTTACCCTAACGAGTCCTAATCTTATCCAAAAGAAGTAAATGTTTACGTGAGTGTTTCAAGAGCTGAACTTTAAATACATATTTAAACTTTGAGTGTACAAACAGACACGGGAACCTCCTGCAGATGCTGCTGCGCGGCTTGTTTACTCGGAGGTACTCACACCACCCATATTCCTGTGATGATGAAGACAGGCAGGCTGACGGGAAGGATCATCCAAGGCGACATGACGGGCGCCAGGCGATCTCCGCCGCAAACGACACCAACGGACACAGGCTTCGTTACAGACCTGAAGGAGCGCAGACACAATCAGTCAGGGAAAACAAACGTACAAATATTACAATCACAAATCCTGAAATCAGGATTCCTGATTGGTAATTAGCTCTTTAATCCATCTATAAAACTCCCGCCTGTTCCAGCTCCTATACTGAACTTTCCTCTATACTTCCCTATACCACACCACTTTTTTGTCTTCCAATATTTTTGGTCCTTTTTTTCCACATTTACCGAAACCTGCACTGCTTTATATTCAGTTTCAATCAAATAAAACCTTTAGAGCTCTTTGCCATATTACGTGCATTTTTTTACATGATGATTTATTGTCTTTCATTTAGATTTTTACTCACTGGGTTTGTTTCTTTCTTGGTATGTGTGTAGTAGATTGCATTTTGTGTTGCACTTTAATTTCTCAAGCGATTCTTGTTTTACTAAAGCTGCTGCGTTTATTGTTTGCTGTAAGATTGGAGTTTCGCAGTTTTTAGAGTATATCTTATGTTAAAAGTGAGGGTTTGTAGCTTTTCCCTACTTTATGTTTCATATGCTGAACGTCTTTTGCATTTTGGAGTGTCGGTTGAACAAAACAAGACATCTGTGAGAGATGTGCAGTCCCCTTGCAGTGATGTAAGGGGGAGAATATTACATCTTGAACAACGTGTTTTGTGTCTGTCGTGCAGGTCCGATGTAGCGGCCTGCAGCAGAGATGACGAGCTGTCAAACTTGTACCTTCATCACTTTCTCCACAAATACATCAGTGCTTTCCCACACAGAGCGAAACAAACAGTAACCTGTGAAAACGACGGGCCAATGCTCAGACCTGCAGTCCTGCTTCTGTCTGTATGGCTATTTTCCTAAATAAACATATAAAACTATAGAGCAGCTCTCAGTCCACACACCAAACTGAAACCTTTTTATACAGGACACTGATTTATGTTTTGGCCGAGGTATCACAGTTTCTGTCCTCGGACATGTTATCGTCCTGTCACAGATTAAGCACAGTAAGTTTGAACTTTACAGAGTTCAGTGAATTACTGCCAGTCATTCATAAAAAATATGCACATTTAGGGCTCAGCACATAACTTGAGTATTACTATTTTTGTGACTTGTTACACAAACAATTCCTATAAAGTTGGGACACTGTTAAAAGAAAATCCCATAGAGCCATATTTTATTCACAACAGAACAAAGAAAACACATAAAATGTTGAAAAATGTTAGCTTAATTTGAGTTTGATGGCAGCAACATTTGGGACATCTAACAGAGCATAATGTCACCGACTGATTCCAAGAATCTGGAGGAATCGCTGTGCGCAGGGAACAAGGCTAAAAATCAATAGTGGCTGGCCGTGATCTTCAGCTCTCAGGCGGCACTGCGTCATAACCAGACCTGATTCTGTCATGGAAATCACTGGATGGGTTCAGGAACACTTCCAGAAATCTCTGTCTGTGAACTCAGCTCACTGTGCCGTACACAAACGCAGGTTAAAGCTCGATCGTGCATAGAAGAGCAAACATGTTCGAGCAACATCACCAAAGCTAATTTAAAACAACCTGAGGAAAAGTGTGAAGATGTTCTGTGATCACACAAATCAAAATCCTCCAGACCAAAGAGGAGAAGGACCCTCAGCTCTGAGTATATTCAGTTTTCAAACCAGAACGGGACAACATTCCTCTCCCACGAGCCCAGCAGCTGCTCCAGATGTTTATGAGCTGTTGTTAAAGGAAGAGAGGATGCTGCACAGTGATAAACATGTTGCTGGCATCACTTTCAGGTTCACCTTATTGTTTTATGAGATTTACAAATCATCGCTTCTTTTAATTTCACACTTAACAGAGTCCAAAAAGTAACTTTTACACTTTATCCTCAGTTATAACAGGTGTCGGCTTATTTCCACCTGTTTTAAGGGGGAATACAGATTTTCACATGCAAAGTATGCAATTATCTTATTAAATTCTACATTAAACATGAAATATTCTATATTCAATCTGCCTGTAAACGTTCAGCTTTACCGTTTTTGAACTCGTTTATCTGACGTGATAAATGTAAAATTTAATGTATAATAACTAGACTTGAAAACACAAGCTGAGTCAGATTTTGACATTTTGAAATTCATTTTTGGGTTTTTTCTTCTTTTTTATTTTAGGCGTGTTTTGTTAAAAATCACACAGAAACTGCAACACGTGCGTTATTTTTTAACACAGCCTTTCTAAGACTGTAATAAGGAATGCTTCAAATAAGTAGCCTGCATGTTGTTTAATATTAAAGTAAAATGTCTGGGAAACATCATAAAATTATAAAATAGTTGAGGTTACAGGTAATCACGTGCAATAAAAACTGACTAACATTAAGTCTTAAGTTATTATAAAATCTTTAATTATTGCCACAGTTTAGTCTGTAATTTCAGATTATTCGTGTTCCTGCTGTGCGTCTATTTGACCTCATTAACCCCTCTGAGCTTGATCAGCTGGCCTTCATGCTTTAGATGCATGACAACCTGAGATGCACAGCTTCAGTCCTCGGATCCTACCTCTGCCGCTCAGCGAGAGCTCCTCAGTCTCCGCGTCTCCTCCCAGCTCCTCCAAACTCGGGGAAAAGTTGCTGAAAAGTGAGGCCGAGCTGGTGTTTCATCGTCCAAACGTGGCTGCAGGTGTATCACTTCATCGGGATCGGGAGAAGAGACGGATGAGGTGGCGTCGGTACGATCCTGCTCCCGAGGCAGCCCGCTGAGCTGTGGTGGGAGGTGAAGAAAGCAGCTGGAGTCGGTGACTGGTAGCTCCTCCCACCCACGCGGGTGGAGGCGAAGGTTATTCTAACCCGACAGTCATCGCTGCTTTAAAGCTCGCACTGCTTCTGGGAAATCTCTGCCACTTTTTTCATGTTTTATGAGTCTAAAACACGGGTGTGGGTGGGCAAACGGGACTTCTGCGTGCTCCAGGAAACTAATTTCACTAATTGATTGCAGTCAGACAAGTTGCACATCCGGGGCTGCTGAGCCCGGAGTTTAGTCAGGATTCTGCAAAGTTTGTTCCAGATGTTTCACTGGGAAAACCTGAATGTATGAGAAAAAGTTACTGTCAGGTTGAATGAGCTTTAAGAAGTTCCACCTCTCTAAACCTCTTATTGAAAGGAACATTTGAGAGCTAAAGACTTCAAAAATTATCCATAGAAATCCGAAAAAGTCAAATAAAATGACGTCTCACAACTTTCTTCTGCCATTACAACCACTATAATATATCTCATAAAGAGAAAACAGGTGAAAATCATAGTTTAATTCCACGTTTTACTAAATTGAGTTCAAAACTAATACTTGTATCTGCAGAAATTTAGACCTGGTGTTACAACTTTGATCTAACCATGGATGTCAAACTCATTTTACACGGTAGACCACAAACAGCCCACTTTGATTCTGAGTGAGGCGCCACTGAAACTCCCCTTTCTGTCAGTGTAAAGAAATACATTAGTGTATCTATAACAGCAATCCCTGAGATTAAAAGTGTAATTTCAAAAGCATGTCGTGATTTTTCTATAAATAAAATTAGTCAAAATACAGAAAAAGCTCTGGTAAGCTCACTGGCCCGACTGTCCTGTACGAATATAAAACATAAAGTTCTGGTTAATTCACAGAGATTTATTTTATAAAGTAAAAAAAATAGGAACTTTTCTACCAGTCAGTTGTTTATATGTTACTTAACTATTTTGGTGTATGAACGGCAGTGGGGGAGGTCTGAGAGCAGGAAAGGAGGAGGTCGAGTGGAGGTGGGTTGCAAAGTGGCTCGCTGACGCACAGCAACTGTGAGAAGGCTAAAGCAGCTTAAGAAATAAACCATATATGAGATCTGAGCTGAGCTGGCAGTGAGATCAGCTGATCAGAGTTCAACTTTGTTTACATTCATCTGCTGCGTGTCTTTAACTTTTGTCCACTTTCGCTGTTTTTTGTATTTTCTCTTCTCTTCTCTTCGCTGTCCCTTCCAGTTCTGGTTCTGTTAGAGGTCTCTTCCTGTGAAAAGACAGTGTCGCCAAATGCTACTAAATGATTGTTGGGGTTCTCTATCGAATATATAATATAAGCCAGTTTGAGGCGACTCTTATTGACACTGTAGGAATTAAAGTTGAATCGTTTGATGTAATATTTTTATCACTTTAGTCTGGCAGAGGTTTAATAGGTCCATAATTATTGGTTATATTTGTGCAAATGCTTTAACAAATTCATTCAGTCAGATGACAGGCTCTCTGTATATACTTATTTCTTCTTTTATAATACCAGATTAAGTACATTGTAGGGACAAACTATGTCCACAAATTAATCAGAACAAAGGAACTCTTAGTTAAACCCCCAAATCACAGGGTTTTAGAAGCTTTGACTTTCTGTCCTTGAAAATGTCTTCAAAGTTTCTTTTAATTCTACATGCAAAATAGTAGACACAGCTAAGTAATGGATGTATGGATGGATAATAAAGAAATAAAAGCGATACCAACTGTTAAACGTCCATTGCTTTGTTTAGAAATTCATTTATAGGGATAATTTAAGTAAATACAGTTAAGCACACTTCCTATTTCTGCTGGTTTTTACCTTAAAAGGGGAAATTTTACACCTGTTACTCGGTTAGCCAACAGCTTCGGATTTTCACAGCAGATTAGGAACATCAGTGGGGGGTCGGGGAGAACAGATTGTTTGGGTCGTGGTCCAGATTTAATGAAATTCATTAGTAATGTTAGCTTTAATAGAAAGAAACAATGAAAGGAGAGAGGATGGCAAAAGTGTAAATGAAGCCTCTGTGCCTGAAAAGTTCGATAAATACAAGTCTGTCTTGTCTTGTCTTGTCATCCAACAGAGGCTAAGTAAATAAAAAGACAAAATAACATCTGTAGCTGGTTGCTGTAGGAAAACACAGTTTATCAGTGTGTCCCTTTTAAAAACACCCTGCAGGTCCCCTGCAGATGAATCAATAGTGAAAAGGGAAGCTCTTCTCAATAAAAGCTTTTCATTTTACTAAAAAGCCATGAAATTGAAGGGGCTCTGGGGTTTTCTCAGAAAGGTTATTCCACAGATTGTTCCAAGAAAAATCTGTAGTCTATGGTTGGGTCAAAGAGGCGCCTCGTGGGGTGAAACTTTATTGTGAAATAAAGTAAGGCCAATCAGAGAAGATGAGTATTTTCATCTTTTACATGGTAAAAACAATCAGCCACAGGCTTCCTGAAACAAAGAACAAAGAGCTGTGACCCTATTTTGAATTCATACTGTACCCATATAAAGAAAACTGAAAATACTCAACCACATGCCTGCATTTTCCCAACAAAACAAGCAACCAATGCTGCAAACCCTCACAAGGAAACACATGAAGTTCAGATTAACCAGGTTTGTGGCGGCACCTGGAGGCTGCCTCACGTGCTTCTTCGCGTGCCCGCCTGTGCAGAGGTTCGCGCAGCTGTTCTTCGTTACATTGTGTGTTGTAGTAAGAAACAAACGCACCGCTGACGTATAGTTTGGAGCACATGTGGAGAAAGCGGTAATGACAGCCTCCTGCCACACGAGGGCGCCAAAGACTGCAATAACAGCCACAGACAGGATGAAGAAAGTCCTCGAAAATGAAGAAATTATGGTTTTATATTGTTACAGCAATTTAAATAAACGTGGACAGACAGACGGAGTTTATTATTTAACATGCAGAAGTACTCGATTACAAATAGGAGTTTATTTATTGTTCTTAAAAAAAGAGTTAAACATGTAAGTATGCCCCATTTAACCATTCAGGGTAATTTTTATCAGTCTAATCTCATGTTACAGGTTATAGTTGTTAATAAATATGAACACGATGATTAAAACATATGTAATTATACAGTTAGTCCGTCGTGTGTAATTACAGTAACATGAGCTGGATGTGTTAATGTGAAGGATATCTTTAATGACTTTAAACACTACATCATGTTTCATGAGCTCCTGCACAAACTGCTGTAACAGCTTGTGTTTGTACCGTGATGATTGTCCTCTTCTGCGCACTGCTCACATTCAGCTCCCAACAACGTGACTCGTTTCTGTAAGTTTCATAAAAAGTTTGCTTTCCATCACAGAGCCGAGCTGAACACGAGCTGGTGGTGTTCACGCAGAAAAATCTCACTGTTGTCGTGACCCTAACCCTCTGTGACGAGCTTGTTTAAAGCTTTTCCCTCTCGGCTCCTCCACTGCGTGTCTTTCCTCCCCGTCCTCTGGTGTCACCACCCACGGCTACAAGACTATAATGTGCTGAGCAGGCAGAGCTTTGTCTTCCATCAACCCACGACCTCCCAGAGAGCGCTCGGCTCAGCTTGGACGTTTGTAGGGCAGTGTGCTGCGAGCTGCAGAGCTGCAGGGTGTGGTTTAACTGTGTCAGCAAGACAAATTCCTCTAGTTTAAAAGCTTCACAGGGATTTAACAGCTTCTGATCATCAGAGACTGTAGAGCCACTGTGTGCTCATCAGTCAATTTATCCTTTAGACTCAGTTTATACAGAAAATACACATATGTGTCCAATGTGAGTATAATGAGAGCCTTGTTTACATACTTCTGTACATTTTGGATCATATTTATTTTTCTTACAGAGCTCGCGTTAATGACTAGAACTGAAAAATCTATTATTAAGACCTAATATTTAGATTTGACATGTTATATATTATCTTTCTCTCTTTAAACATTTCCTTTCCTCTGTAATGCATGGTTACAATTTAACACAATCCTATTATACATTTTTTCCCCATCCCTTAAACATGCACTATGACCGCAATAATAAATGAAACTGAACTATCACCTTCTTAGCAATGCCAATAAAACCAGCACGAATACACAGGAACAGCGTGAGCATCATAAAAGTTTCATTGAAAAGCAGTTTCAGAAGTTTTCCAATAACGTCGTCGGTCAAGGAATTCACCTTATATATGATAAAATTAGAAGTGTGTTTTAGCCTTAAATATTTTCTATTTCACATCTTCTGTAGATATCTCTTTAAATCTTTGTTTAGTTGTTTTCCCACAGCTGCTGCAGACACCTCAACTGTTTATGGCACTTTCTGGGATTTTATTTGCGACCAATAAAGTGATGGGAGGCGTTATGTCGCATGTACACAAACCTTTTTGAAAAATTCTCTCACGGTCGCTGAGTTGCCACATTCAGGCCTGAATAACAGAGTAATGGGAGACTGCCATCTATACGGCACTTTTTCAGACCCGTGACCTTCAAAGGGCTTCACGCTACAACCTTTCACACACATAATTGTCACACACTGAGGTCAAGGTCACTGAGAACTCATCACCATCTGAGAAATGCATTTTACATTAAGCTGTGTATGCTTGAGTTTGGCTCTCGTCTACGATTAAGACTCAACAATCTTGCAAAAGATTGCTTTTAAATTTCAAGAGCTGCTGTTTAGTTAAATAAAAGCAATTAAGTATGTTTATAATGTATGTGCCAATAAAAAGAAAATAAAAGACAATCAGACTGAAGTCCTGGCTTTATCACACATGCCTGTCAGAGGCTTGAATATGTGCTTTATATTTTTTAAGATAATCTTAATAAAGGAAACTAAATCAAACAGCTGATGTTTGTGGCGAGTTTGTCCGTCTTCTATTTAAACAGATATTCTTCTCCACAGTGAAAATATTTCACCCCTGAAACAACAAACAGAGAAACTTTTATTATAACGTTTCGACACGAAGCCCTTTTTCCAGTAGAAACCACAGGGAGTAAAAATCAGTAGGAAACATAAAGCACAGACAACAAAACAAAGTAAAGCACAACAGAAAACAAACAGAAGCATGTTTGGCACACCAAGTTCAAGTTTTAACAGCGTTACAATGTGTCAGATTTTAAAAAGCAGGCAGTTTCAAACAGTGTTCAGTGCTCTTTATATTAAATCGCATAAAAACAACTACGACTGGTTGATGCTGAAACAATAAGTGCATCTGAAAACGGTGCTTTTATCAGAACTACGTCGTTTCTCACAGAAGGTGCGTCAGCGTGACAAACTAATCCACAAAGTCCTGAACAATCGGAATTCAACTACAGACACAAACACAAAATCAGCTCCGTCACACCAAGTCAAAAGTCTCCACACAGCTTTTAAACCACAGCGCTCAGCACACACGTTTCCAACCAGGGCGAGCAGCTTCTGTGGCGAGCACAGGCCCGTTAAACAGGACGTGGTTTGAGAATGTGCTGCACAACTTTAAACACGAACACCGTCGCAGTTCACCCTCCGAAGCGGTGTAAGCGCGAGCGTGGATGGAGCAAACTGAACTCAACCTGCTTCCTAATGTGACACCTGAATGTAAACCTCACACCTGCTGGAAAACGTAAAGAAAACACATCCCTCTCATCTAAAAACAGACACCAGCGCCCTGTGGCCTCCTCTTCAGCAGGTCATAAAGAGCAGCAGCACCACAGTCAGCAGCAATCGCCACATAAACTTGGTCCTCGTCATCTGCCGTATGTTTGGTATCAATTTGTTCAAATAATTTAAACCACAAAAGGAAAATAAATAACCAAAACCAACATGAGAACAGGGCAAAGTCACAAAGGATGGATCAAAATAAAGCTTTTTCTTCTAACTAAACAGGAATCAAGTGTCGGCAACAAGGCAAACGTAGTGGTCGGACCTCGTAGGAGTTGCAAGATACAAAAACCTCTCCTGTTACGTCACATTATGTTCAGTTTATCCTTTTTGTTTGTCTGCTAAACACTTCACACGAGACACTCTGGTTTAGCTCCTGCTGCTCAGAGAATCAGTTCAAACAGTTTTCAGATGCTTTTTATCGCTTTTAATAAATGTGCACCATAGAAGTGGAATGTTTTTGTTACACCTCTGAGTTAAAGCTACAGGTCTGCATCTCCATCACATCTACACGTCTCCTTTTTAAATCCATCGCACAGCTGCACAGAAGAAAAGGTTCTGGAAACTGCGTCCCAACAGTGAATCGTTCCCGTCATCTCTTATAAAACGTTAAAAAACATATACTGTACAGTGCGTAAACATGTGAAAACAACCCAAACGACAGGGACAGGAGGACGTCTGGCTTAACGCACGTCCTGTCAGCTGTTTGAGCTGGAACGGCTTTCATCTGAGGAACGCGTTCCTCGCTCAGGCCTTGTCTTACAGAGTGTACGCGTGGTGAAAGCGGCTATAAATATTGGCTATGTTAGAGGAAAGCTGGGTTGCATGAGGTACTTATTAGTGGTCAGTGCATCACCTGCAGTAAAGGGTGAAGCAAAGCAACGCAGCGCTGTGGACGGCATTAGCAGCAACACTAAATTTAACCTCTGTGTTCGTTTTATAAGAATATGGTCACTTTACTGTTGTGCTCTCAGACTCAGAAACTTCACCTGGATTCAAACCAACACCTTAAAAAAAACAAAAAAAACCCAGAAAAAACAACCTAAGCTAACAAGTTGAGGCAGGTATAAGCCAGCGAGGTAAACTGAGAGGAGCAGACAGAGAAGGCTTTCTTTTTAGATGAAGGTAAAGAGGTGACAGCATTTAAAAAATTACACTGAACAAAACTTGCATTGCTTTTCTTCCTGCACGTTTACGTGCATGAAAACATTCCTCTGCCATTTAGTGCATTAGTCTTCACTCCCTGTTACCTGCTAACCTGCACAGGTGGACACAGGTGTTACAGTTTCTGCACCTGCAGGCGCCACGTGATGCTCATTTTTACGGTATCAGATTAGTACCTGCCCCCGGTGTCACTTTGAAAGGGCTAGTTCAACATTTGGTGCAGATTGTTTATCCTAGTCGAGCATAAAGGCAGTGAGCAGGCGGTGTGTAAACGCTTTAACAGGATCCCGTCTGTAAAAGATGTTTGTTAGAGCTGGAGTCAAGAATCTGTTGCTTTTATGTTTTTGTTAATTTGCAGGTTAAACAGAAAGATGCAGAGTTTAAATAAGTCAGTTTTCCAGGGAAAGGAAAGCCTGCTTCCAGCCTTTATGCTAAGCTAACTAGAGCTAAACGAACCATTTCCTCACTCAATTAAAGTAAAATTAATTACATATAAATCAATGACTTCTTTAAAAACACAGGAACAAGTGTCAGTTGCCTCTGACAGTATTTGGCCCTCATATGGCTGTTTTTAGATAAAGGAGTTTAAGTAAACAAGGCAATCGTTTAAATGATGACAGCGCTATTTTTAGTCAAACACAGTTACGGAAATGCCCCTCAATCTCCTCGCTTTCATCGTGAGATCACATTAAAATGCTCCAAATCATCCTCCTCTCTGAGCTGCAGTCAGAAGAGGAGGATGTTCAGAGCCTTTAATACGACCCCGAGCACAGGGAGGCGCGCTACTCTTTCTTGGACCCTTTGTCCCTGGGGGAGCCTTTGAGGTAGGTGTTGTAGAAGAAGTAGGCAAAAAGGATCAAGTAGCTGAGGTACAAGAGAGAGCCCCAAACGATGTTGTCCTGGTGGGATGGACAGCGCAACTCGTGCATCCAGTGGTACACGAGGCCCTGCACGGCCAGGCCCATCACCATCTGCAGGATCTGCAAGGCCGTGATGACCATGGCGAAGGGACGCGGCACCTGCAGGCCGGCCGCTCGGGCGGCGTAGTACGTGTACATGACAGAGTGAACCATGTAGTTCATAGTCATGAACCAGCCGCCGCCCGCCAGCTGATCCTTGTAGGTGTACCAGGAGTAAAGCAGCACGGTGATGTGGTGGTACCAGTGCAGAAAGATGAGGCGCTGTTTCCGCAGGACGATGAACACGGTGTCTCCTGAGAGAGGCGGCAGAGAGGAAATCGTTTAAATAAAACCGCACCCGAGCACCAAACCTCAACCTCTCAGCGACTGAGTCATGACTAATAACACCAGATGTACTTTAGTTATCACAAAAGATGGAAAATTGCTGTGTGAGAGCAGGAAAAATATTTTTTAAAAACCTACAGAAAAAGTGAAATACCTGACAGGACCTGACTGTGTATCAAGTTTAACGCAGCTCCAATAAAGCCTGACTTCACTTACAGTGTTTGAAGGGGGTGTACTAAATTTTATGACGGCCTTACAGGTACAGGAGGAGCACAGAGACTTTCAACAAGGCAGCACAAGCAGTTAGCTTACAGTTTCGTGAACATCCATCACAGATTTGTGGGTTTATGTTTGATCTTTCAGGTGGATTTAACAAATAAAAGGGTTTAGCTTACACAGACAAACCTCCTCACAAAGCTTACTTTGATAAGTACAAATACAGATTCTGGTGAATCCCATGAAGTTGTTATAAAACAGAACAACCTGTATTTCTAATTTAAAGCTCATTTGAGTCTCTATAAAGAGTCCTTATCCTGCAGTAGGAAGCAGACGTATCCTTCCTGTCTGCAGCAGAGGAAACATTGCTTGTACAGTATCAGCTGTGCGCTAATGGACTTTTCTTGCCAGCTCAGCATCTGCCTCCATTTCAGCTCTTAAGGGAATCACCTCCTGATGGATTTACTGCACAGTGGCGCACACTTTAATCTACACTGAGCAAATCATTTCATTCTTAAAGTAGCTGAGCAAGAAAAAACATCCAGTTTGAATTTAGATCCTTTTGGAACAAAGACTGAAAAACATCCAACACATTTACACTTTTACACGTTTTCAGTGCGTACAAGTCTTGCACCAACCCTCATTTCTTAACATTCTGCGAGGAAGGCAGGTGAAATGTGCAAACATACATGGAAATAGAAAGGTTTGCACAACTATAACAATGACTTATCTGGTACGATCCATGACCGATGTGTGTTGTTGTTGTTTTTTTAAATTCAGGTAAACTTTTACTTTAGTGGCAGCGGGTTTTGGATCATCTTTTATTGAAAGAAGCAGCTGCTGCCGATCAGATGTGTTCCAGGCATGGTGGGTGAAGCTCTGACCTAATATTCTTGTGTTCACAGTTACATTAATTTTGAAAAAAAAATCCACACCACTCACTGAAATGCAGCTCTAAACCATGACAGAGCCTCCACCGTGCTTTACAGATGGCTGTAGACACTCATGTCATCGCTCCATCAGACCTGTTCTCACTGATCTTTTTTACTGCACATCATGCTGAAAAAATTGCCAAGTTTTCAGCTAACAGCTCTTTGGGAATCAAATTGTTGTTGCAAATAAACTGTTACCTTTGCATTTTGCACAGATTCACCTAATTAAATGGGAACAAACTACGTGGTTTTGCACGGTTAGTAGTAACAACGTGTCAAGAAACAAAATAAGGTTCATCCCTTGAGTTATATGCATTTATATTTAAATGATTCATAGGTCAGTGTTAAGGACAGAACCAAAGAAAAGCTTTGAGAGACCTTCAGAAAGTACTGATTAAGACCTTTTTAAAAAAAAAACATTACAAGAAAGTCTGGCTCCTTAGAAGCAAAATACAAAGAGATGAGGGGTGGATCAAGACTTCTGCACAGCACTTTATGCCTCATCATGGTTTTAGCTAATGCTAACACCCCCACCCTTAATATGATTAAAACAGTTTTTCTGAGTTGCGTGGAGCTCCTATAGCGTAAACAGGTCCTGCTTCACCTTAATCCAATAACAAAGAAATAAGGAATCTACAGCTGGTGGTCTTTGAATAGGTTAGATTTCAGTATGTGAGTAATATTCTGACATTTATGAGATCAGATGAAGTCTCACCCAGCTCGGGGGCCTTGCTGAGGGCAAAGGCGTAGGCCCAGAACTTGGTGAGGGGAGAGCTGTAGAAGCTGTTGTCACACACCGACTGTTTGAAGCCGTCGTTTGTGAGGACGTGCAGCATGTAAGCTCCGGTCCTGACCGCTCCTACGATGCTGCAGAGGAAACACAACAAGGACATATTAGCAAACAGCTAGGATCACAGAGGCTCAGCCACTTCTTTTAGTAAATTATGTTGCTCTACTGGTTTCATATTTGTCACCACTTTCCTAGAACAGAGTCTGTTTTCTCATCCTTATAGTAAAAACAGGGATGGTCTCAACTGGCAGCCCTGATGTGTTAAAGTGTAATCATTCTGCCATGCCTCCTGTGGACAAATGAAGCATTGAAAGCAGCATTTTTATAATCCATCTTACTGTTTGTCATAAAATAATAATAATAAAAAAAAAAAGAAACCATAACTGAGCTGCAGAGATCACTGCTACAGTGCAGCCATAAAGGCTTGATGTCAAAAGGTTTATTGACATTACACTGATGGCAAAGAGCAACTTGCACAATGGTGCAACACTGATGTGGAGATTTCATAGGTTATTTCAGTCAGACCATCTTAAACACACCTTAGAGACTCCCTGTGCTTTTATCTGATGTTCCAACAATTGCAAACCGGATCGCAGTCAACAGGGAGCCAGCCTGTGTCATTTTCTCTGATGACTGATCGTCGTATCGGCCTTCGATCTGACACAAATCAAATGCAGGTCAAACAGGACCAAACTGTGAGTTTGATGGGGATTATGCTCAATCCTTTTCAGAGTATCAGACATAAAACGATGGTGTATGTAGCGTATGGATGCCTGTTTATAACTATAGCACTCTGCTACTCTTACAGTCCTTTTAAACTAAGCCACAGTCGCTCATTCAAAAAGCACTTTTAAACTCTTTTTGCCCAAAGACTCTGCAATATATCAGTTGGAGAAGCCTTCAACTAGTAAATGAACTGCCCTGTTTCCATGCAACTGTAATAGTAACTATATGATGAATGAATAAATAGCAGTGAAAAAAAACCTGATTCTAAATCTGAAAACCTTGTGCGGCCCACTGCACATTAGCCTAAGAGGAAGTACTTTCTTTTTTTGTTCCATCATGAATATATTTTGAGCGCTTGGCAACTGGCTTGTTGAGGTTAAGTCTCCATAAACACCTCCACCTAATTGCATCGGAAATATTTCATCAGTAGTTAAATTAGTCAGAAAATAAGGGTTAAGGTCTAAGTTGTAAGCTCTTGTGCTTCTGCTGGCAGCCCAGCTATAGTAGCCTCATAGCTCATTAGCGATAGTTTAGTGCTAAACTGTCAGCTAAAGCTGGGGGTTTACATGTGGATTGCACTGATATCTGTTAATTAGCACCAAGACTAATAAAACACTAGAATTTAATTAATCAAAACTAAAGCATAAATGTATATTTGTCACATATTTGGGTTAAAAATGCTACAAGAGGCCTTAACACAGTCATGAGGTCCAGCTTTATGACTCTCACTTAGCTGCTACCTGTCTGCGTCAGCACCCACCCGCCACTCAAAGCTACCCCACCCCTAATTACATGAGGTTAAAGCAGTCACTCCCTCTCTTAACCAGTAAACCATCTCATCACGTCCATTTCTGTCAGGTTGTTTACTTTAACACGAGACAGTCACGGTAAGCCCAAATGACAGCAAAGCAACAAAGCGTGCACGATGCTGTGTCATCATTCTGGCACACGTCTCCGAGGTTAAAAAAATATATACCAGTAATAAAAAACAAACTTATCCTTTAAAGGACAACAGAGTTAACAGGGTGGATGTAGTAAAAAGCAAAAACCACCTACACTAACACCGTCGCGTCCTGTGTGCGGACAGCTAAGGCTGAAAGGAGCAGGATGTACCCACAGCACTGGGATTAAGATTAAAGTCCTGCACACCTGCCACGTGGATCCTTGCAGGCTCTGGTGGGTTTGACAAACTCACCTTAAGGCCTTTAAGTGACAGCAGCAGGATTTTAGTTTTTATAAAAACAGCACGCTTCTCTGGGGGAATACCACAGTCTAGATCTTCATAAACAAATCAGTAAATTAGATTGATAGTTGGTAACTGAAGGAGTAGATAAACAGAAACCTGTTTGGAGTTTGGCTGATGTCCTGCTCTAGATAATCTTCTCAGGTATTCTACTCTAGATGCTTTTTTTAAAGATTGCTTTGTAGAAGCCCCGATCTCCTTCAGCGTGTCAAAATGGAGATCTTTCAACTTGATTCAAGAAGATGAAGCAGCAGGGACATAACCTCCCACTACCTATAGGTGAAAAATGCCAAAAATCTGGCTCTTATCAACAGCAAGGATCCTTTGCATGAAATTCAGGTCATTTTGAATGAGAAGCTGAGGTTGCTCTCTGCTCAGATTTGAGGTTTGTGGTGAAACTGCAACTCGAGTGGAATGTCCTATTTTGAAAATGCAGCTGCTCTGGAATCTGCCTGGAAATCTCAGAGAAGATGATCTCAAACAGGAGATTGGCAAAAATGTAAACCAGTTTTTTAGGTCAGCCCCAAGAAGTTTTAGATTCCACCCCCCCGATACCATGTGCAGATGGACATCAGGACTCTTAGTGAGTGAGATGTCTATAGTGTTCTTGAAGTACTGCTTTAAATCTTGCGTTGAACCTTGAAGTGACAGCTGTTATCAGACTGGTTGTGGCTTCTCAAACAAACACTCAGAACACTTCTTTGACTATCCCTCCTTCAGTTCACGTTCCTGTTTACCCAGAAAGGAAAAGGACCTTCAGAGAAAAAATACCAAACAACTTTTCTCTGAAACACTCGACTCTAAATGTTTGGTTGACTGAGCGTTAAGGTCACGTCAGCCGTCTCAGCTGCATCGACCTTGAGAGTCACTCACCTGAAAATGGCCAGGCTGAGTGACCACAACACCAGCGGGCGACGCAGGTTCAGTCTTTGCCTTTCCCTCATGAAGTGCTGCCCTCCAAATACGATCGCAGCGTACAGGCCAGAGAATATAAAAGACTTGGTCCTGCAGAGAAGCACACACACAGTGATGCTTATTATTACTCATCCTCACTGTAACACTAATACTGATAATACTGTTACATGCACTAATTACAGCATAGAGACAATAACAGGAAAAAAAAGCTCCCCTCAGACACAAAACACTAGATTGAGAATGTACTGGATCAAATTATGTAGTTGTTGCAATTAATATTTAATACTTAATTTCAGGGAAACGAATGTATGAAAATTTGGCTGTCGTCACTGTAAAAAGAAAATACGTAGTCTTGTAATTCTAGTCAGCGCATAATAGGAAAATCATTTTGGTCCTCAGCAGGTTCTATAATTATTAAATACAAGCGCAGGTCTGCAGGCATTCGTCCATGCACAGCTCTCTGCATATCAGTCAGGAGGAGGTCTGGACTTTGACGGGACCATTGCAGCACCTTGTTTCTCTTCTTTTCGGCCATTCAGTTGCAGATTTGCTTCTGTGCTTGGGATCATTGTCCTGTCAGGTGATCCGATTTAGCTTTAGCTGTCAAACAGATGGCCTCACATTTGAATCTAGAATACTTTGGTATACGAAGGAGTTCACGGTCGACTCAGTGACTGACAGTAAGTATGAGGCGTTTGCGCTGATATGCTAAGTTTGGTTTTGTGCATCGCAGCCAGACGTCTCCACTCCGGTCTCATCTGTCCAAAGGAGATTTTTAAAGAAGTCTTTTGGTTTTCCCAGATGCAGCTTTGCAAACCTAAGCTGTGCTGCCATGTTCTTTTTAGAGACAAGAAATCTTCACCTGGCCTGTTTGGAACGGTTGTTCCAAACAGGGACTGGCTCAGTCTTATTCTAATTGTCATTATCGTTAACATGCTGAGGCATGTACAGCTCTTGGGTTTTTTGCAGTTTCTCTGAGCATTGCATGGTCTGACCTTGGGATGAATTTGCTTAATGTTAACTCGAGAAACAGCTTTATAACCGTTCCTAGTCTGACGTGCAGCAGCAGTTGCTTCGCGGTGCATTAACACAGTGCATTTAAATAACAGCACCTGGCTGCTACTACACTTACCCTCTTAATCCCTGTAGCAAAAATATACATAAAATCTTCTCAAAATAGGGTGTACTTGTCTTTAGCCACAACCTCACGTCCCTGAGCCCAAATCTGTGGGAAACACTGATGTTACTTAACACAAAACGCCGGCCTAAAAGCTCCAGCATCACACAGATCTTTGACCTCTATCAGCTTTACAATAAAGAGGAAGTACCTCACTTCCCCTGACAAACAGCTCTATTAAACACTAAATCACCTCCTGAGACTTTGAAACAGGAGACAACTACACAGACACAGCGCTCTTACATAAAGACATTACACAATTAGTGTGACTGAACCAGACAACTGCAATTAAAGACAAATACGAGCTGATATCAACTCTGTGGTCACTCCAGAGTCGTGTGACAAGTCGGAACATCAGGCTATGAATTACTACATGTCAGCCCTCCTGACACCAGCCAACTCAATTATTATACTCATAGCAGAGGATTAAGAGATTAGCTCCTGACACACAGACCACTCAGACTGCCAGCTATGGGCAATAAGGCCGTTTCCACTGGGCACCACTGCGCCTGATGTTTCAACAACAGCACACAGCAAGTCGATTTTTGGCTGAGCAGAAACAGCCGAGGAGAATACTAAACCCTGGAAACAGAGACTGCATGTGCACTGACACCGTATATTTTTAATTTCACGTTTACCTGCTTCTCATATGTTATTAAAAGCTATTTTTATTTAAGTAGGGAGGGTATGCGTGAGGCTGAGGGTATTTGGGAATAAAGCAGATGACTAATCCAGATTGGCAACATACATAATACACAGGATGAGTAGATACTACTGCTGCTGCTTGACCCAGTTAGTGGTTATAGTGGATTCTGATAGCTGGTCCCAGTTTGCCCCTGTGGGAGAGGAAAAACCAGCAAAAAGCTAAAGCTGTTCCCGCTGCACAGATCTGAACCTCCGAGCATGCCAAGAGTTCTTCACCAAGCTAATAACACATAATCTTAGACAAGATGCATATCTGTTTGTTCCCTGCATACTGAGATGAAATTCAGTAACTGAATAATCATCTAATCAATCAATTTGTCTTCCAGACTCAGTGGTCCAAACTTAAAACAACCAAGAAATCTCAGATTAATAACAGAAAGAAAGCGTATTATCCTACAGAGAGACTTGTGCACCCAGCGAGGAGCACGTGGTAAGCTTACAATAATTTTGATTTCAGAGGCATTAATCCTGAGATTACCTGAGTCAGCTTTAAAAGCAGCTTCAGCTACGAACATTTCACTCAAACATCCAAATCTCAGTAATAATCTCAGGTCTATAACTTTTTGGACAATGACACACTTTTAATGTAGCTGTCCCTCTGGACACCAACACAATCAATTAAACAAAATGTGACTAAATTGTAAACCTTGAGCTTTACTTCAAGGGGTTTTAAGGACCTCAAAAGACGCAGGTTGAGGGGATCTCCCCCTTTTTTAATGTGTTTATAAACCTCTCTGCATTTAATCATTAGTTATTATTAATCTCTGGCTCACCACAGCCTGGTTTTGCTGTTTTTCAGTTTTCTTCCTGTTAAAAGGGATTTTCCCTTCCCTCTGTCACCAAGTGCTTACTCAAAGGAGGACAGTTGGGGGTTTTCTCTGTTTTCTCTGACTTTAACTGACAATAAAAAAAAGTGCCTTGAGGCAACTGGTGTTGAAACAGACTCGTCATTATTGGGGTCTGATTGGAATTAGAAAAGGTCAGCTATGACAAAATGAATCAGAATCGTTCATCCAAACTCTTATCAATACTTCAGTGCTCGTACTCGGGAGCTGTACCAAACTCACACCAGTGAGCATATAAACGCTCCAGGTTTTATCTCCCTGCACAGGGTGAGACACACGCGAGCTATCAGAGCCACAATCACCTGGCCAAGTGTTTTGTCTCCAGGAGTCAGTAAGCTAGTGGGTTTTTCAGCGTCATTTAACTTAACCACAGCAGCATTCCTTCCCGGTCTCCTTTAATAATTTGTGTCTCTGTGCAAGCGTCCCTCAGGAATTGTCTAAATGATCTGATTCACATGCCTCTATCTTTATCATTTCTTTTTATCAGTTACTGACGTGCTTTTCTGACAGTTCGACAGAGCACATACAAATGCTGTCAGACTCATGGGGGTGGAACATTTTGCACACCTGAGAAACTTTTTCCTGCTCTGTTTTTTTTAGTATGAATCTGTTTTAATACAAAGTCCACTCCTAATAGATAGCTAATCGTAGGTGGCCTGATTTACAGTCAGCTACTGCTACAAGGTTAATAAAAAACAATACACAGATTACGGATCATCCAGATAAGGAGCTACAACTTTAAACGTCTTTGTGACTGAAAAGAAGACATGGTATCAACACTGAGTTATCAGCACACGCAAACTCCTTTTAGCATTAACTAGCAGGCATCTGTGTCTGTGCCTGACAACCATATGGTTCAAGGAAAATGTGCACTTTGTCACAGACTGTGTTCCTAATTTTTATGCACAGCATTTCTAGACACAGCTCACAGGCTTCAGGTTCAGAAGTCTCGTCTCTGCTTTTTGCAGACATTTTGGTTCTGTTAGTTTCATCGAGTTACAACCTCCAGCGCGCTCTGAGGGAGGTTTGCTGCCAAGCTGGAGGGAACTGGGATGAGAATTAGAACCTTCAAATCTAAGGCCACAGTTCTGAGCTGGAAAAGGGTGGACTGCCCACTTCTGGTTGGGAAGTTTAGATATTCCAGGGTCTTTTTACAAGTGAGGTAGGGTGCGACAGGAGATTAAATAGGTCTGTAGTGGGAAAGAGAGAGCTCTGCATCTCAGCAGTGGCTGAAAGAATGAGACTACAGAAACCAAAAGCAGAAATAAGCTTTGTGCTGGGCTCTTTGACGGATAGAGTGAGATAAAGTAAGAAGCTCAGTTCTTTGAAACGAAATAGAGCTGCTACTCCTCAACATTGGCAGGGGCCAGCTAAGGTGGCTCACTAAGATGCCTCCTTGGTGTTTCAGGCATGCCAGACTGTGAGGAGATATCTGTGTAGACGTAGGACACACAAGATTATGTCTCTCAGCTGGCTTGGTAGTTTGGGAATGCCTGAGTGTCCCACCAAAAGAGCTGGAGTAGGTGAGCGGGGAGAGATAGGTCTGGGTATCTCCCCGTCTACTGTGCAAACAGGCAGCACAAAATAGATGTCTGGTAATAAGATGCAATTATCTTACTCTTAATTATTACATACAGGCAAGCTGAAATAGTTACTTCAACAAATGAAGCTTAAAAAAAATCTTTATTAAAAAAAATAAAATCTCCCTCCTCACCCCTGCAGGGGGGTGTCTTCAATCTAAAGCAATGAGTGTTGCACTTTGGTGTGCTCCACACAGCCCCTTTGACTTTGACACGCTGGATACGCAGAGCTGCAGCTGGGTAATGGCCTAAAAAGTTAGATACCTCAAGTCAAATTTTGTCAAATACAAAAGAAAAATCACCAGAACCATAATTAAATATATTTTATTAATTTTTTTACCATTTTCCTAATGTTTTAAGTGACTTCTCTTCATAACATGGAGAGAAAATAACAGGAAAAAGTACATAAATCTGTGCCGCTGCCCAGCAAGGCATTACACACCTTCACCTTTAACTCATGCTTACTTAAACCCCAAAATAGTTCAAGTAAATAAACTTGAATTACTTCAATTAACTCAAATAGGAGAGGAAACGTCGCAGGAACTCTTACATATTTTAATAATAACTTGATACAACGTAACGTCTGTCATTAATCTGAGCAAGGCTGGTGTTTGTAACGTACAGATGTCACTGTTTGAGTCTTACAAACTAGCCCAAAAGTGAAAACGTAAAAGTGAGGAAGGCATAATTTTTGACCTGTTACTCAATATTTGTGCCTGAAGGTGAAGACGGGCAGCCGCAGATCCAGCATGCAGTCTTTACTTTCATAGCTGTTAATTACATAATCAGGACTCCGTGCAGGGCTCGCCTCTTCTCCCTGAGGTGCATCCTTAACTCGAGTTTATTTGAACTAAAGCGAGGGGAAAACGATGTTCCTGAGGTTCTAAAGAGATTTCATGGGTTTTAGCCCGAACATGCAGAACATGTTACAAACGGCTTCAACAACAAACGATGGACAGAGCTGCAGTCCAGTGAATGACTTATTTACTGATATTTCACCAACTTCCTCGTTCTTACCAGTTTTCCTGCATCCATTCCATCGCTCTTCTCTCGTCGAAACGTCGCTCGAAGTCGTAAACTGTCAACGGGTAGCTGCTCGGCTCACTCTCGTTCATTTTTAAAAGTTTCTGGTTTAGTTTTGGAAGGAAGAAAAAAATGCAACAAAAGGCTGAAGAAGCAAACGAGAGGCGACAGTTTAACTGCTGCTCGGTTATCCTCCGCTTTGGGTCGTCTGAGGTGACAGCAGGATGACGGGCTGTCAAGACAAATTTTATTTAGCGCGAGAAAGCTAGCTGCAGGAACACGACGCTATTCCGGTTTAGGATTTCAAAATAAAACGCATTTTCCAAAAACTATTAACTGAAAAGTCCTAATAACTTTTCTAACCTAGACAATGGCATATATATATTATCTGTACTTTTGAGTCAGAAGCAATCAGGAAATACAATAAACAGGAGTGAAGATTGTCTTACTGATTGGTATTTTAATAATTTATTTCTATGCCTGCTTCATCTACCAAGGAAGCATAGTCAACATGGCGGTGCAGATGAAGACATTAGGAGCCTGATCAACAAAGCAAGGCTTGCATTCAACACCCTGCGACCCATCTGGAACTCCAAAGCCTTATCTCAGCGCAACAAGATCCGCATCTTCAACACCAATGTGAAAGCAGTCCTCCTGTATGGGTCCGAGACGTGGCGGGTGACCAACACCATTACCAGCAAGACACAGATTTTCATCAACAAGTGCTTGTGACACATCTTCAACATCAGATGGCCTGAGAAGATCTCGAACACAGACCTGTGGAAGAGAACCAGCCAGAACCCGGTCGGTCAAGACATCAAGAAGAGAAAATGGGGCTGGATAGGCCACACTCTTCGAAAACCATTCGACAACGTCTCAAGGCAAGCACTGGACTGGAACCCACAAGGAAAAGGGAAAGTGGGGAGACCCAAACAGACGTGGAGAAGATCTGTCGAGAGCGAAGTGAAGGCCGACAGAATGACGTGGACCCAGCTGAAGAGAACGGCCCAGAACTGAGTCTGTTGGAGTGGTGTTGTTGCGGACCTATGCTCCACCAGGAGTCTACAGGAAAATTGATTGATTTTTATGGCACTTATCACAACCAACATTACAAAACAACACAATAAAACACACACAAAAACTTAAAGTCTTGCTGCTTCATTTTGAACACTCTGAAGTCTGTGAATTGATCTGTGACAGTGAGAGGCATGAATAAAAGCATGAATAGGAGCCTAAGTGGCACCAAATCTCAGTGTGGATTGTAGCTATAGCATTAGAATTTGTTGAAATAGGTTTGCATGAAATAGCATGCACAGGCAGGGGTGCCTCCAGAATGTTTTCATATAGGGGCCCCTAAAAATATTGGGGGGTACACGAAAAACAGAATTTCCAGTTTTATTATGCTGTTGTCAAATACAGATTACTTGAAAAATATGGCAAAAAAGACAGAAACAAAAGAAGCGTCTGGGTAGTTAATTTCCTGCTATTAAAGTTAATATAATTGAAAATATATTTTCAATTTTATATGTACCTATAGGTACATATGAAAAACAAATAAGATTTCAATATTCATAAAAATCCGTTTTAAGCAGGAATAAATAACAAGTTTATGTTTTAACTCATTTAAATAATTTTTCTTCATAACATGGAGAGAAAATAACAGGAAAAAGTACAGAAATCTGTGCCGCTGAGCAGCAAGGCATTAAACGCCTTCACTCTCTCTTGTGCTCTGTCTTGTGCTCACGTTTAAGGGCCCACCAAGGGTGTCACCCAAAACGTATAAAGATGCTAATCACATACAAATATATGCAAATCCAGTGTAAGCAAAGAGCAACCAACTGCAACGAAACACAAAAGGCCAAAATCATAACAAGGATATAAAATGAAATCACTACAGTACTACATTAGCTATACTGTGAGAATAAGCAATGTTTATATCTTTATTTTATATTTATTTTGATATCTACTTTTAGATTGTTTGGGGAGAGATAGTTTTGATGTCTCATTCAACGCTAGAGTTAACAGTTCAAGTGCTCAATATCAAAATTTGTAGTCTCAACTTTTATTACGAAGGCATTTGCTGGCATTTCCGGTTTTCCCTGCGCTGTCATTGGGCGATTCAATAAGAACACGTTTTTTTTTTTGTTTTTTGTTTTTAGAAAGGCGGGGCTTGGGTGTGACGTTTCGTCATCAGGCGAGAGCGCTGCGAGTATCGACCCCATAAAAAGCACTGGGACCAGTCGGACCAGTCTGCTCCTGTCAGCAAGGCCAGGACCCCAGATATCCATACTTGGATTAATGCTGTCAGTCAAAACCAGCTGCTTTATTATGTAAGAGAAAAATATCATTTAGATTAACTGGGTCCTTTCAAATACATTATTACACTTACACAGCAGCAGTGTGCACTCACATGATTTAATGGTTTTAATGCACAAAATTAGTTTAACATGCAGCTATAATTTACTGCTTTCTTCCATTTCTTTTTATGGTGAATATATGTGCACAGGCTTAATCTCTATCAATCACAAAATGACTTGCAGAATAACTCATAACAACTATATGCAGTTTAAGCTTTGTAAAATAAGCATTACATTATTAAACAAAGTGAGGAACGAGCCCTTATTTGCATTTAAGTTTCCCTTTCACATGCCTGCTCAATGGATCCTTTTCTCCGCTGGCAGTCTGCAGTGCTCCTATCTGTAATAAGCTCACAAAAATTGACTTTCTGCATTGATCTGCTCTTTGATCCTGTTCAAAGGACACAACGAGTCCCTTGAAGTACATCTGGAACAGCTTGGTGTACAGTTTCATAAGACATCATCTGTCAGCATCGGAAGCACTGCACATGAAACCTGATAAAGGAAGCTGGGAGAGTCTCAGCAATAATGTGGTGATGTGATAAGCTCTTATTTTAATATGTACTATTAATACACGCACAAAGACCAGGAAACTCTGTGCAGCAGATGCTTCACTTCCTGCACAAAGGTGTTTTTTCTATGCATCGTTTCAACAATTGAACACATTTCATAGGCAAAACAACTGACTGCAGAATAACTTTAGTATAAAGAAGCATGCAAAATATTACCTTCATACAGGCTTGTGAGGCGGGCTGGGTCCAAATGTTGTCACTTTTTCATTTAGCTTATTTTTCACAGCATTTTAAGCCTTTATGAGTACAGGAGATAGCCACTTGAGATTTTGTGGGATGAAAAACACATTTGAACAGCTGCAAACTGCATCGGATACCCTCGTCACCGTTTTCTTGCTTCATCACCCATTCAGCTTGAGGGAATTTTCTTTTGCCCTAAGATGGCGTGATCCTGTTACTCACTAGGAAAGATCCAGTCGCTGTGACGCTCTGTGTTCGTACTCACTGTCCAGACCCTTCAAGGGTTTCTGAAAAACTGCTTCAGGACTTAGATTGTTAGATCAGTGTGACTCTCCAAACCGTTTTCGCATACGAACACCAAAGTTGTTTCTCTATTTCACTGCAGTGCTAAAATATGACTATATTAGAAAAAAATAGAAAGAAGGAATCATGCAGTTTATTGAAACTATGGTTTCCAACCTCTCATGCAGTTATGGAGGGGCTCAAGCCTATTCCAGCAGTCAAGGAGAGAGACAGGGTACACCCAATCACCAGTCTGCTGCATGACTAACACATAAAGACAGACAACCATTTGCATCCACACCTTTAGAACTGACATTTAACCTGACCACAAGCATGTCTTTGGACTGTAAGAGGAAACCTCAGTGACAAGGGTGAACATGAAAACTGCACATAAAAAGACCCAAACCCATGCTCTGCTTGTTGTAAGGCTAACTGTGCAAAACTATGGTATGTATCCCATCATACTGATACTCAAACTTGGTCACAAGAAAAAAAACTGTGCTGCACAAAACCTTTAAAGACTTTGGCTTTAGATTGTGATGCTTGGGAGTGTGTGTGAAATTGTTTTGGCTGTAGTTTTTAACAGAATTTAAATGTGTTTTTCAGCCCTCAAGATCTCGTGTGGATATGTCCCACACATATGAAGTTAGAATGGGTGAAAAACACTGCAAGATTCCAACATTTTGGCACACCTTTATGTACTTCAACTCAGAAAATATCCACAGTGTTAAATGGATAAGTAAAAGGTTTTGCATAGTGTAAATACTTCTGTCCCTCATTACAATCCCTGCCTCCTATGATGCTTAAAGACGGTGATGCCGTGTTATTTAATGTTTAAAAAGTACTAATGCAGTATTTAAAGGTGCTCATAAAGGTACAGAAGAGTTAAGGTGCCCAAGGACACACACCTATGAATTATTCCAGCTGAGTCTATGGTACCCAACTTAGTAGATCAATGAAACACGTGTTCAAACTGTCAATTTTCATATTTTAAGTAACCTAGCATCATATCTGTGAGATCACCAAAGAAAACAACTTAAAACATTAATAAATTCAGGCTCTGAATACAACTCAGCAAAGTGTGAGCAGGATGAGTGCAGGAGGCCATCTGCTGGACAAACCATGAAGTTTGAACCAGCCTGTAAATATTTCTTCTTTTATACAGTATTTCTGAAAGGAGTAAGCTCATTATGTTTCCAATGGATGTTTGTACGAGAAGGTTTAATTGCATTTTAGTGTCAGAGCAGCTGGTGGTGACAGGAGAGGACACAGAAAAGAGCGAACAGCACAAACACAGAGAGGCTTCCAGAAGCCGTCTGTGCACAGCTGCTGCTCTCAGCCTGCCCGCTGCCCTCTGATGCTGCTGCTTAAAATATTTTACAAAGAAGCCATTAAACTACTGCATTCATTTTATATGAATTATTGGGATGGAACCGTTTCCTTCCCTCTCATAGAAGATGCTCCAGTGAATCCTAATAAAGGAAGCACCTTTCATTGGTATTTGGAGAATGAGGAACCTACCAAATTCAATGTGGCCTCTCACCTGCACTCACGGGTAAAACCTGTTAATCCATTTTCCTTTTCTGGATGAGCTGGAGTCTATCCCAGCTGTCATTCTGTTCTATCCTATGAGGGTGAACTAGTTGTGAAATGATAACCAGACTGCCTGGAAATGTAACTCAGCTCGACAACAAGTTTAACCCCGACATACTGTTCATACTTTATACCTTTACACTCTGCTGTCTGGGTTGACAATTTCCTTAGTTTCCAAACTGAATTTTGATCTACAAGTCAGTTTAGTAACCAGTCCGTATGAGAAGAACGGATGACTAATCATTAATTAATGTTTCAAAGAGCATAGATTGTATTTTGGGGGGTTTATAACACCCTTTT